ATACATCCTCAAAGGCAGAGTCTCAAAACGTTTTTATTTAAAAACATCAAGAGACAAAAACCTCTTCATATTCTATACTTATTATGAAGAAATGGAAATCTGACTTACCATTTTCTCAAAATGCCAAAAGTGATATGACAGAGTTTCATTTTTTAGCTAACATGAAAGCAGCTGAAGATGTTTAACACAAACTTTCAGAGCCTTCTGCTTCCACAGCTAAACCTCCTGGCTGTTTCCCTTTCTTTTTTCTAGAACTCAAAGCTAGCTCCAAAATCAAAGCAAGCCAAACTCACATTTCTTTGTCTATTGAGACCCCTCCCTCAGAATGAGAGTAGTCACACAGCAGATACAACACAAACACTGTGTAGGCTGCTTCAAACAAATTTGGCAAGGCTCTGTAATTTAACTACCTGTAATACTAAAATAGAGCAACTGTATCATTGCCTTATAACATAACTACACAGAGAGAGAGAAAGCAAGGTCCAAAATGTGCATTCCACTTCCTATTCAGAAAAGAAAGTCACAAAATATATGTAAATAAGACCAGAAAATTTATGTCTCTGGAAAAAAAAAAATCTCTTTTTTTGACACTGAATTTAACACTTTTGGGATATCTTGGGGCAGGATACTCTTCTTTCTTTATTTAATGTCTGCAAGACTGGAATAACTGTACTTACTTCACAGGGGTGTCAAAAGTATTAATTTCTTGAGTTTGCACAACGACTTTGAAGATGAAAATTGCTATTGAAGTGCTAAGTGTCAATTTGTATAAATAAGCAAAAACTTAACATCTGAACCAACCCAAACAAAACTTTCTCTCTCCAGGTACAGTTGAGCATAGGATCAGAGGATCAGGAAATAACATTTTTTCATCCACTGTCGTATCTCAAAAGAAAACAGCAAGTTTTTCCCAGTCCTTACTGCCTGAAATCTTCCTTGCCACTCACTGATCCTGTGACTTATATTTCACAGTTTCTAAGATGTGCTTACTATACTTGTAACACAAACATTAACATTTAAAATGAGTGTTATTGATGAAGGCATACTGACACAAACCAGTTTTAAGCAATCAGCTTTTCCAGGTGTAGCTGCTTTGAAGTCCCTTAAAGAAAGCTTTCTTCTGTTTCAAAGTACTGCTTCAATTCACAGTGATTTCAAATACACACCAAAAATCTTTCAAGAACAAATGAAACAAATCCACATTTCTTTGTCCATACTGATTTATTTCTAGTTATATATATATGGCAAAGGGGGCAAGTGCTTTGAAGACATCTTATTAAACCTCAAGAAGGAAGTGGTTAACACTCCTATTTTATAATACTTTTGTCAGCCTTTTGTTTCCCCCATACTCATTTCCATCTCCAAATGATGACTCAGTCACTTATCTCTACAAAACTCATCTTTTCCTTACCTTTCTCAGTCATTAACAAAGGAATAGAAATTACCCCATTATGCAAGAAACACTATTTACCCAGATACTTCTCCTCCTCCATCTTCTGCTTTAGCCTCAGCTCAAAGAGCCAACATAACTGCCTAAGTAAGATCTACAGTTTTTCGGCAAAATTAAATGTCAGAATTTCTCAGAGTTTTACAATGCTTTTGTTTTGGAAGAATGCAGATAAATATCAGCTTTGGGAATAAGTACCAATTTGTCAGACTAGCAAAGGTCAAAAGCATTTTCATATGTAGAAGTAAGTCAGAAACTTTCAATCTGAGATACAACAAAACAGCAATTTACAACATCAGCTACAATTAAATGGCAAAAAAAAGATAATTCATTTTGTTATAAAAAATGCATTTTAAAAACTTATTAGTTCTACATAACACAGATAATAATTTCAACTTCCTCCTGACAGAAGTAATTAGGGATTTTTTATCGTGTTTTTAGCATGCCATTTTTTTATTTTGGAGATAGTTCAGAAAATTGTTATTTCTGCATCTGTGGGTCCTTATTCTGCCATCAGTCACTAACCTTGCCTATTTCTAATGAATTAAACAGCCAGTTATCTATTCTGTAAAATATTTCACATTCAGTACATACACCTTTAACCTCATGTGCTGAAATCCAATAGTGTTTGGTTGAAATGGCTTTTCCAGTACAGAAATCCACTTTCAACATTTTGACAAGTGACAGATAAGGACGAATGTGACAGAACTGCTTGTTCTTTTCACAATTAATGGCATTTATTTTGTATTCTGCTAAAGCAGAGGGGAGTAAACAGCAGAAGGGAAGACTGCTTTCACCTGCAGCAATGACTGCTGTGCTCCAGGACCTGGGATTCCTGGTGGATGACAAGATGACCATGAGCCCACAGTGCCCTTATGGCCAGGAGGACTAGTGACACCCTGGGGTGCATAGGGAAAAATGTGAACAGAAGGTTGAGCAAGGTGATCTTCTCCCTCAGCTCAGCCCTAGCGTGGCCACATCTGGAGTCTTGTGTTCTATTCTCCACAATTCAAGAAAGACAAGGAAAGAGTACAAGCAGCAAGTCCTGCCAGGAAACCTGCTCCAGCATTGGCTCCTCTCTCCATGGATCTACAGATCCCTAGCAGGAGCCTGATCCAGCGCTGGCCTCCCACAGGGTCAAAACTTCCCCTCAGGCATCCACTTGCTATGGTGTGGGTCTCCTTCATGGGCTGCAGGGGGATCTCTGCCTCCCGTGGACCTCCATGGCTTGGAGGTGGCAGCTGCTTCACCATGGGCTGCACCATGGGCTGCAGAGGAATCCCAACTCCAGCATCTGGAGCACCTCCTCCCCCTCCTTCTGCACTTGGTGTCTGCAGAGTTGTTTCTCTCACATGTTCTCACACTGCTCTTCTCTGGCTGCAATTACAACTACGCAAGAATTTTTTTTTCCCTCATTTTTGAATACATTATCACATATTACCATGTTACCACCGTTTCCAATTGGCCCAAGCATGACTAGCAGCACATCCATCTTTGGAGGTGCCAGGGATTGACTCTGCCAGACATGAAGGAAGCTTCTGACAGCTTCTCACAGAAAGCACCCTGTAGACCTTCTTAGGAGGCATCCAGTATTTACACACGTTAAAGAACTGTTAGCCAGACTTCCCAGTGATGCTCACTAACAGAACAAGAGGCAACAGGCATGAACTAAAACCAGGATATTCCATCTGAGCCCAAAAATATGCGTTTACTGTGAGGACAGTCAAACACTGGCCCAGACTGGCCAAAGAATCCCCATCCATGGAGATACTCAAAACTGGACAGGATCCTCGGCAACACTCTCTCTGACCCTGCCTGAGAAAAGAGACTGAATTAAATGAGCTCAGGAAGTCCTTATTAACCTAGTGACTCTGTGATTCTTAGCTCCTTATCCCTTGAAATTCAGTTCTTTGACAGGAACTGAATTAGTACATTTTTTCTTTCAGACTGAAAGCCTTGCTTTCATTCAACAGCTCACATTCCCACACAAATCACTTGGGTCTTCACTCTAGTCAAATTATTAAATGCTCTTAAACAATGTATTTGAAATGGCCTTAGTTCACTAAGTCATGGTACAATTTAATTTAAGAGCATGCCCTGAATATACAAATTAAGAAACACACTGTCGTCTGAGCTGAACTTTAGTCTTCTTTGAAAAATGTCTACAACACAGTCTTACCTCTAGACAGTTTAAGTTCCATTATATCCATGTGGTTAAAATCTCTCATTGATATTTATGTACTTGAGATACATCTGAAAGAACACTATAACATGAAAATTTTGCACTCAATATATGCGAAAGCTATGGCAATTTTATATGTAATATATATCTTTATATCTGCACAGACAGATGAAAACACGTGCAAAATTACATACAGTAACACTGATTATTGACAGTTCAGTGATTTCTCAAAGATATTTGATTTTTTAGCCCTTTTCAGTTAATTTCTCATTCAAGCCTGCCTACAGATGTTAAGATCATAGTGAACTGAAAAAAACAGAGGTCTTTTGCCTGGGTTTAATCATCTAATCAGCAGATTAAACCCAGATTAAATAAAAAATGACACTACTATCTTCCAGAACCTTTTCCGTTTTTATCTAAGATTGTGTTTTGGGGGTTTTTTTAATTAAAAAATGCATGTTAAGCATCCTCAACTTATTTAATTGCATAATATATAGATGAAATAACAGTTTCTCCCTTTCTGTCTAATCGTCTATAGCTTCTATTTAATCTATCATAGAAAAACCCTCTGAGGTTCTCCCTTCTAGAGAAAGAGACCACACATCTTAAATCAATGATCCACAGAAAACACAAGAGGTATTTCTTGGAAGGGAGCAAAGAAGGCAGAAGGCAGGCAGGCAGGCAGGAGCTTTTGTAATACATTTCCATTGTTAATCAGCAATGGGTGTAAGAAGCAAAATCCAAACTTAAGCTTCCAATAGTGAAATTTAAAGAGATATGAATTCACAGTTATAAGGAGATACATTTGATCAAGTCTTAATCCAGGACTCAACTAGAATTTTTGCAAAGTTACCCATAGATTGGTACTCTGATTCCTTCATTGCACTGAAACAAATAGGAAACATTCTAAAATAATCACTAGAAGTTGGATGACATCCATACAGAACAGTATTAAAGACCAAGGAATCTACTCTATGCAGCAGATTGTTTGTTTTTAATTACACAAATTATATATGCAAAAAACTTAGGTTTAAGCCTTAAATAGCAAACATTCTGTCACACAACTGTCACACATGCAAACAACATAAAACACACCTGGAAAAATACTGATACAAAATTCTTTTTTTAAACATGGGTACCAGAAAATACCATCTTTTTTTATATAGGTTTTACAAATGTCACGTTTTTCTAAAAATACCCTGAAGTCATTTTTCAGACCACCTCCAAAAAACATTCTTCTTGCTTGAATTTTTTTTTTTACATTTATTTACATGTTCATGGCAAGAAAAAACAATTTTACCTTCAGACTCAGGAAACAAGTCTGAAAACTCTCATCACTGTATTTTACAAAGGGTATTTTAAACCACTCACCAGTTTGCCACCAGTGGTCCAAGACAGGTACCTTGAAGACTCTTTTTGCCCATTCTAGCGTGTCCACATCACAGTGCTCACCAGCTACAAACATCATTCTGAACCTTTAAATAAAAATAAAGTCTGTATCTTGATCTGGATGTAGAAAGGAAAACAAGATAATGAACACAATAAATGTCTCTGGCCATTGTCCCAGATCAAGGGAAAAGACAAAGGAGGACTTACTTTTTGTTTTCTCTTTTCTTCTAAGTAACAACTAGAATATTTGCAGCATTAATTTAAGCTACTTAATACTTCATAATGAAAAATAAACTTTATCTGCTGAATGCAAAGACTTTGGGAGACCAGAGGCAAGCAACTGTCAGTTGAAGTAAAAAAAAAATTAAACGCTCTGTACACAGAAACTAGGTAGATATCTTCGTTAGCACTGCAGTACAATCTCCCACAGCCAGATGCACGTCACTGACATTTTGTTTCCCTTTAAGTCTTTCCTCAGTGCATTTTGAATGAAGACAACTACTGAACACAGGACTTCACTCTTGTCCTTCAAAAGTGGACACAAACTGCACTGATTTTGTAAAACCAGTGAATTTGTAGCCACAAAAAGAGAGAATACTTAAAACTCATCATATGACACAAATTTAACTTCAAAGGGTTATCATTTAGAAACACTAAGAATTTCATCTATCCATGGAAATTAAATCCAGAAAGCAAATTAGACAAACACCAAGAACATATGAGTAAGGGAAAAGTTAAGATATCTTGTTATCCTCTGAGCCAAAAGCAAAATTCCACTCTTTTGAATTGCCAGCTCTAATAATCAGATTTAATAATCTGCAGGCTAAAGACAACTTTATGTTATGAGAAGAAAAACTAGTTCTTTGGCAAACTTAAAAGCACAAAACCATCAAAAAGAGTATCAGAGCAAAGTGCCTCAAGTCTAAGCAAAAAAACCATGGAATTATTTTCTCCTCTCAAACAGTATAGCAAAACAAGGGATGGCAATGGCTATGAAATGTCCCACTGAACTATTTTTTTAAAGCCCACTTAAAACATCAAAGTTTGTAAGTCACCTGTTACTGCAATTATCTATCCCTCCAATGCTGTTAATTGAGAAGAAAGGTCCCAAAGTTTCTCTGTTAAATACATGTCCTCAGCTGCTCTGAAAACCTAAATTCCTAACATGAAATTCAGTACAATCAAGCTTTTAGGCCCCATACAGTAGTTCAGCAGAATGAACTTCAAATGTCACCTGACATATAGGGGACAGATGAACGTTCCTAATGATCCTGAAGCAATAAATATTGTTCAACACAGCATACATTCATTTCCATCCCTGAACATATTTTACCTTGAATATGTGAATCCAAGCATTGGATGTTTGGGTGACAGAGTCACAGATTGAGACACAGAACACAACTGCAGCTCAGCTCCACAAAGGCTGCTCATGAGCACAGTTCAGGACTCCACCAGGACAGGCCATGTACGATCAACAGCAGCACAGAGTAGGGGGCAGCAGGCAGAACTGCATTACATACTCCAATTTTAAGAAGTTTTGGGTCTTAATCACATATCCTCCTAGCAGCATGTGGGAAACATCAATTCTATGAGAAAATATTTCCTTCAAATAGTTTTGAATTTGCTACTTTAATTTCACATCCTCTTGAATGTGAAATGCTCCTGCATTACGAGACAGATAATGGAAGTTTCTTATCTACTTTATATTCATTATTTCTGCACAGTTTTTATGCACTCTCATGTTTCTTTCTAAAGTCCATTATTATCTGGCATCAGATGAACAACATAGAATCTCTAAATGCTCTTGATATAAAATTGCAAAACATTCTCAACTGACCAAAAGTTAAGCAAGTAAAGTAGACTATGGGACACAAATGGCAAATTACTTGTACGTTAATCTGAAATACTGAGTTGTTGCCACATTTCATGCAAAACCGTCACTTGTCAATTGTTTGGAAATTAGAACAATCCAGCTCACAACAATTATGTCAATTGTAGGATGAAGTGTGATTCCAAATATGGGAAGAATTAATGGCTTGGTATTATGGAGCTACCTTTTGAAGAGGAGAATGGGCTCAAAGAGCTGAACAGAATATGCTCAGGTAGACAAAGCTCATGGAATTTGGATGTTACTTCTTTTTCCAACCCGACAGGCAGCAGTGCTCAGCAGCACTGGATGTTATCAAAAGCTATGTCTTTAGATCTCTTTAAATTTGTGGTTGAACAGGGCTTTTGACCCACAGTACTAAAAACTAAAGATCTGTTTTACCATTAAGCATGAGCTGTGTTTTGGACATAGGTGGCATTTTGCGTCAAAAGCAAAGAAATGTCAAGATTTAGCTCCAGTAGACACAAGAAATTTAAAGCATACATACTAAAACCCTTGGAAAACACATATATATAATTTTGTGCAGAGGCCAGTGATGCCACAAACATCAATTCTAAATAGTACTTTATTTCAATTATGTCATTTCAAAAGAACACAAGTTTGTTTATAATTCAATTTACTCTTGTAAATCAAATGCTCCATTAGGTATGAAAGCTGGCATTGCCTACCACTTTTTTTCTTTATTAGTAACTGTCTTTCTTAACATTATTTTTTTTAAGTGACAATGACCTTTACCATTTATTTAACACAACTTTTCAGAAATAAAATGTACCATGGTGGAAACCTCTTTCAGGACTGCATTCCTGGATGCAGTTTCGAAAGTAAGAATCCATTTTAGTGCATGTAGCAGAAAGACCTTTCAAAGATTCTTCACCATGTAACACAGAAGAAAACATCATAGATCAAGTAAATGAACTAAAAAGTAAGATTGCTTTCAAACTGAATCAGACAGAATTCACTTGATTTTGAATAGAAAAGTAACATCCAAACCCAAATATTTCCCTAGAAAGGAAATTTTATTGATAGACTTTCTTAACAACTGCACCTACTAGATATTAAATGCTGCATTACAGGGTTTAGTAAAGACATGACATCCCAGTGAACTACATGGTCCAAAGCTGACTGAATTATGAGACAACTAAAGCTGCAGTCAAGTAGAGAAGCTCATTTGATATGAGTGAATAGAAATGACGAAATACCTCCTTACATCTGTGGCAACAGATACTGCAAGTAGACTCGTATCTAGAATTCTCATCTGGCCAGAGAATGTGGCAACTTACAAAGCAGGTAAGCAGATTTCCTATTAAATGAATACTCTACAGACAAAGTAATTGCCTAAGAAATGCCAAGGAACAGCAATTAAATTTTCTAGAATCTGAATCACTTTCCTGTCAATAAATATCATAGGACAATATTGCATTAGTCTCTCAAATGAGCTTCTTTCTTATTTCAATGATGAGGAAGAGCTGATCATAGCAGTCAAAACAGATGGAAGAAAAGTAATTATAAGCTTGCAATGAATACCTCAGGAAAAAAATCCAGCTTGCTAATAATAAACTTTCTTGAACAATTAGGAATGTGGAGGTCTAATGAAGCTTCCCTTCTCTTTGAACAAGTGTGGTAATAGATGTTCTTGTGAATGAATACTGCCTATACAGTCTGACATAGTCCCTGTTTGATGCTAAGCAAATCATTCAACTTCAAAATTACATGTGGTCTAAACCCACATATTTTTCATTTTCAGAATGTTTGCCATAAGATACAGAAACTCGGTCTGTAGAAGTATTGGACCCTCACAAATCTAAGTTATATGAGAAGCATTTCATAAATATAATGCTAACACTACATTTTAACCATATAATACTACAATCTTTGTAACAGTGATATTTCTCACAAATCTAAGTTACTATGAGAAGCATTTCATAAATATAATGCTAACACTATATTTTAACCATATCTACAATCTTTGTAACAGTGATATTTTAGTGGCTCAGACTAGATATTCAAAACTAACAGAAGACTTTGACCTTAATCTCTCTTTGACTCAGCTTCCCATCTGCAAAATACAGATAATACCACTCTCTCACCTCACAGAGGATTTATGAGGATGAACTCAGCCAAGACTTTGAAGCATGCTGATAGTATAGTGATAAGCACCTTAAAAGCAGTACAAGACAGCAAATAGTGCTTTGAGTAACGAAGTTTTGGGGGAGCAACCAAAACACTGACTAGCTTCTGATTAAATAAACACTAAAGATCCTGTGACCTTAAGAAAATGAGAGGTCATGCAGAAAAAGCAGTATGGGATGACATAATCCAAGACTGTATTACAGAGTATAAGCACAGGGGAATAAAGTAAAAATGGGAGAGGAATCCAAACTCAGCTCTTAACATTAGAGTCATAGACTTTTAAACAGCTTTCATCTCCTCAAAACTGTCAGTAGAATTTACAAGCAAATATGTGTACACCTAAATTTTCAAGAATAGATTAAAATGGCACTCTATGGAGGTGGGCAAAACCTCAGATACTCTGTTACTCTTAGTTCATGCAGCCTGCTTCTGGAAAAAACTTCCAGTGTATCCTTACTTCACCTTTTCAGCGAGTACTGCTTTCCTAAGGCTGCCTCAGGGTCCTGCTGACGGATTGCTCTAATTGCAGTTGGTGAAGTAAAGAAGGCAGCTACTTCATGCTCTGCTAGCACACGGAAATAGGCACCAGCATCTGGCGTTCCCACAGGCTTCCCCTACAGAGAGAATAATTTAAAATGTCACAGGATAAAAATACCTCATAATTCCTTGACAGTTCAAGCCTTGAGCACGTAACAGTAGTGGTAGCACAGCAACAGAAGTAATTTCAAGACTTCAAAAGAGGCTTTGTTAAAAATAATAATACTGTGAATGTATCCACTTGTAGAAATAAATTCACAAGCTTTGGGAACCATGCCTTACAAGAACACAGCACATACTAGTTACTACTTAGAAAATTAGGACAAACGGACATGCAAATGAAAAGACAGACACAAAGATATGTTATTGCACTGGCAGCAGAGAGAATCACGTCTGTATCTACCCTGAGACGCAGTTTAGAAAACACCCACACTCCCTCTGAACAAGGAGTCTCTGGACAGAGTGGCACTGCAGCTATATTCCCATGCACGGATAGCTTTTTCTTACCTAGAAATTCTTCTCAAATATGGAAATATTCCCACTTAGCTGCTTACAATTGACTTTTTGGAACCTTCATGCTAGCCCACACAAAGCCTGGAGAGATCCTGAAGGGCCCCTATTCTGTTTTTGTGTGCTAACAGACTGTGGTCTGGTTTGGGGTTGGGATTTTCTTGAGCTAAGGGCATAGTCAAGAGAATTGTAAACAGAAGCAATCATTTATGACAGATTGTTCAATGGTAAGTAATCCTAATAAAAAATAATCAAAAATACTTTTTTTGTGGTGTTGAAAATATGATAAACAGTCAGCACAGATTCATATAGTCACAATCTTACTGTAAGTGTAATTACCACAGTGCATGAACTGCTCCATACATATTCTCAAATTAGAAGGTGATGTTAATGTAGAATGATTTTCAGCTCCACAGGTATCACCATAACCTTTTCACTAGAAAGGCCACACTTAGAAGACGAACTTCGACAGAGCACACAAGTTGAGAGACACACACTCTTCCTCCTGCATCCAGCTGGGCCTGAACACTGGCAAGAGCACTGGTGAACCATTAATCAGATTTCAAGAACACAGGACAGGGAAGGCTGAACATGTACCAGAGGTTTTGCAGCTTTATAGTGAGATACTGCTCCTCAAAAAGAGGAGCAACACAAAAGATTTTAAAAATAAGACAGAATGCACAACTGAAAAGCCATTTTTTTTAAAAATTATTAAGCAGGCAGTAAGAAAAAAAGGAGAGGAAATAAATTTCCAGCCCAAGTAGAAGAGTAGTATAATCAACACCAAAAGCCCTCTTTCTGCAATTAGCCTATTCTTTGTTACCAAAAAGAAATGCAAAATGATGCTTACTTAAAAAGTGAGTTAGGTCCTTTTTCCTGTCAGATAACACACAGTACTCAAAGAAAAATCTTCTACCAGACTGTCTTGAAGCATCTCCCTAGCAAACCACTTCATCATAACTTTTGTGTGTTCATCAGTATTTGCTCATGAACCTTTTTGTTCAAGTTGACACTCTCTCCCTGTAATATTCACTGTACCGGCAGATCTCTAGGCACCTGGTTAAGAGTTCAAGCTCACATCACTAGTGCTAAAACAAATAGCCATGGACTCTGAAAAAGAGCAAATTGCCACAAGCTTCTCATTAAGTAATTATGTACTTGAATTAGTATCAGTCATCTTGCACACCAAAACACCTAGCTGTGGAGCAAGCTGAACTTGGTTAATGTGCCAGTAATAAAGTGGGATGTTACTTTTAACCAAATGTAAATATCCAGAGCCCATAAAAGGGCTATGTGGTCCTGAGCACACCCACTCCCTCCCAGATCCCGTTGCACACCTGATCTCTGTCTGAGCTGTCACAGACATGCCTGTGCCTCAAACTTCCAGCAAGCCTGAGCCTGACAGTATCTTCTACACAAACTGTTAAACCTTCATGAGTGCTTGGATAAACATGCAGGACTCTGACAGGTGGATATTTATGTCACAGGTAAGTTAAAGTAGTTTAGGTTAGGAGTTACCAGTCTCAGATATAGGAGAAAACCAAAGAAAACACAAACAGTAGAAACAGGAGAAAATTCACCTGTCAGTTGACAGGAAATAAAACCCAGAGAGTAAGATATTCATTTAGGGAAAAAAAAAATTGGCACAGGTGTAAAATATTCTTCCAAGTTGTCTTGGAAGCTGTTCAGAATTTAGCAAACGCATAAACAAAAATGGACATAATGTGTGAGACTGAAAGGGTTAATGGCTCAAACATTTTTAAGATCACTGAAGGACTTTGCCCACTGTAGCAAAGTGTGCAAAGAAGATCACCTGCAACTATTCCATCCCTACAAATATGCTTCCTGATGGGAATTCAGTCTGTGAGTAAAGCCACCTGACAGGGAACTTGAGATAAGATAAAGGTGGCACTACTGTCCAACTACCTCTGGTCTAAGGAGAAGTAAACAGGGCTGGGAAAGAAGAATGCATCCAAAAGGAAGGAGGTGAGTTTTTGGGAGTGCGACGGCAAAACATCTGGTCCATATAATACAGAGAGAGTGAACATCCACCACCACGGGACAACCACATGAGAGGCGACTCTCATGTCTTAGATGGGTTCATAAACCATCAAAGATCCCCAAAGGTCCCCAGACTCATTCCTCAGGTCTTACATCAGAAGGCTGCAATTGGTTCAAAGTTTTGCAACAGATTTAGATTCTGCTACATAGGACAGTGTAAAACTCCCTCACAGGGGAGGTGCTTGGGCTTTCCCATGTACACCTGAATGTATATTAATACCAACTGAAATCTATGTTTCATGGGACACCCACCACAGAGAAGACCAGAAGAAAAAGATGAACAGGATGCCCTGGATTCACAGGGGTGGTGACTAACTTTCCCCTAATCTGCCTCCCTTTCTTTCTCCCCTCCTCTTTTTTTTATTTCTTTCTATCACTCTCTCTGCCTCACATTTACTGATAAATAAAATCCATACTATTGACTTTGACATATGGTCTTGTTTGCACCTTAATTAATCTCCCTTATAATCAGATTGTAACACATATCTGAGACAGTGCAAATTAATTTCAGAGCTCAAAATCAACAAATAAAATTGCCAGAAAGAGTAGTCATTTATTATACAAAAATTTTAAGAAGTACTACCATACTCCATGAAGGCTTATTACCACATGCAATTTTTATTTTTAGAAGTTAGCAATATAAACAGTAAACCACAGGGTAATTGAATTCAGAATATGTTGACAGACTGCTGAGTCAATTGGGGACTGAGCAAATGAGATACTTCCACTGGATTTCTGCAGGGATCAGTTAGAGAGCTGTTGCTATTCAGTATTTGCATCAATACTGGAGATGAAAATTGATTTTTAGAAGTTACTGGCAATAATATCTATGGTTGACAGGAAATGAGAGCACAGTAAACGGGACCAGGGCAGTCAGAAAGAGAGTGATCTGTCTCACCTAATTTAAAAGAAAAAAGTAAGAACAGATACGATTCCCACAGAAAAGAGCTACCAAGAGACTCTGAGACTCTGAGACAGACAAACAGACAGGAAAATCCTTCTGGAAGCACTTAGATCTAGCAGGTAATTTATAAGATGTCAAACAGCTGAGCAGACATACTGAGGCAAAATGTGCTGATGATTTATGATTTCATACATGATTATCAAAAAAGATTCACAGACACCAAGAATTACCAAGGGAACAGGAAAGTTCTTATATGAAGAAAGTGAGAAGCCACCATCATAGATTACTTGAGGGAAGAGACACAGAAGAAGAATTATAATCAAATGTCCAACAATGCAGAAGTAAGAGTGCATAAATTCCCTTTCTGCCTGACCCCTAATAACAATGGGTTCTTTAATTACCACTAAATCCAAAATTATGAGGAAATTCTCTCTGTATAGAAAATGTGGTGCACACCACTAAAACCTACTGATGCCAAAGCACATGCAATATCCTGACATGCCAGGATTCAAAAGAATATGTTCATAGAGGCATTCAGCCTTCTGATAGTGACCCTGCTGCCAAAGCTCCACTGAAGACTAGAGACACATGTCCTACTCCACAATCAGTAAGGGTGATGGCAGAGTGATCCCTGCCAGACTTCAGAGACAGTGTTTGCTTTGTAAACTAATGATACTGGCTTACAAAAACAGCAGGAAAAGCTGGATATCTCCAAGAACTGTGCCAAAGAAGAGTAGCTTCAAACCTGTTGCTCTTATGAGTCCTGCAAATCTGCTGCAACTACAGGACTCCAGAGAGCCCTGTGAGAGACTCCAGGCACACAAGATGCTACAGCTCTGTGTGGGACGGTAGGTCCTTCTCTCACCTAGACCACTCAAATGAAGTTCCTTAATGCCTGGTTCTCGACAAGTGTGGGTATCCTCTTCCTTACCTAGTTCAAAGTCCCAAACACTGGCAGTACAATGCTGCCTTTTTCCTAACATCACAGGACCACAAATTGTAACTAGACTTTCTCTTAATACTGCCCTGTTGCTTACAGCTTGAAACCCTATTAGCAAGAACAACCCAGAGTGGGCTGTGAGACTTCAGGCAGCTTATTTGTTGCTGTTGTTTTGGAGAAAAACAATGCAGGACAGATTATTTCAACCAAACAAACCAAAACAAAAAATACATTTGCTTTTGTATTCAAAAGAATTAATCATTTTTGCTTTCTAGAAAATGGTGTAGCATAATCTCCATAGTAATTTTTTAAATGACAAGTTGTCACCTAAGTAATTTAAAAATATACAAAACACTTGAAGTAGTGAGGCTACAAAGTCAGCGCAGTTTACTTTCAATAGTGGTTGTCCACAAGCAAAAGGAATGTAATGTTCTTTTCCATGGCTAAACAGTGATACTCCCTAACCCAAAATATATAATTAGGCAACCATTCAGGAGACTTAACTAAAAATTTCTGAATATTTACTTTAATACAGTCTTCTGAACAGAGGAAAGATTATGCACTGTTCTCTTTGTAAATATTACTTTTATTCCTGTGTTCAGACACCTTCCTTTTCCTCCCATTATTAACCCTAAAAAGATGACGCTTATGTCATGAACACTGTCTGACGCCTTGATTAGTGGCATCTGGGAGAAGAAAAATGGAAATGTACCATTTCTGTTTAATAATGATCTCACCAAGAGCAAAAAATCACAAAGCAGATGTGTAGGTCAACCTGATACTAACTCTAATTTTTCTTTATGTTCACTGTTAAAAAAGTAAGATTTTTACTCCTTTTGTTTTACAACAGTTTAAAGTCAAAGGTACCTTTACAATGACAATAATCATATTGATCCCTGTGCATTCACATAGAGATAAAACTTCACTCTAAGATGACTATACAACAGAAAATGCTAAAGGACTCCTTACTTCACCTCCTATACCTTCTTTGCTTACTCTACACCTGCTAGAATGAAAACCTCTTCATTGCAGTGATTCTCTTCTGACAATTCATGCAACAATTTTAATGTGGCCTAGCACATCGTCAGTGTTCAAAAACAGTCACTATAAAACTACCGAAGTATTTTTATTATCTGCAAGCACTTGGCCATTTTCTTACACTGCTTTCCTCTTCTGCTTAACTACTGTGGTAGTGCTGAGTTAATCCCTTTAGAATGAAGAATCTAATTAACATCTATTAGGCACTTAAACATTAATTAGACTATAGTAATTAATACTCAAGCTAATACAATATTTGAGTCTACAATATGCATTTCTGCTACTAGACTAGTCTCCTCTCCACCCCACTAGTTTTCATCCCCTGAAGGGAAGGACTAAGTCCCAAATGTCATCAGCATCTTGGGTTCAGTTTCCTTGAGCAGTAGAGAGGAAAGAAGGGACAACTCTTAGAAGTTCCGGTTCCAAGCATACAGCTCTCAACTGCATCTAGCTAAGATCCAGTAAGTATTTTTCATCACAAGACATGCAAAACACAACACCCTCTAATTCCAAAATAAAGGTAGCCTAATCAATAACAAAGATACACTCCACCATCTGCCATTTCTAGTTCTGTCGCTTCAGGGTTCCTTGGGCCACTAACCATCACCCTTCACACAAGTATAGACAAGCCTGAAGGACAGTGAGGTAGGTTTTCCTTAAAAATTACTGTAGTAGGTGGGAGAGTATAAACACTGAAGATACACATACAATTTAAATATCTGTGGCATAAAGAATAGACAGGCATAAACAGGATCATCTGGATCATCAGTTGGAGGAGATGCTGCCATTTCCAAAGGGGGTTTTTAAGACTTAAAAAAATCATACCTCATACAAAACTGTAGTATTACCATGAAGGAGAGGTCCATAGCAAATGTAGGAATGACCAACAACCCAGCCTAAATCAGAAGCCGCCCACCATACCTAAAATGAAATATAAACAAAATTATAGTTAGGAGTAATACAAGGCATTAAAAAACATTTACATGAGATTTAAATAGAATTACCTCACCAGGTTTGAGGCCATATACAGCTGACATGGTCCAATTCAGCATAACAGCATAGCCACCAGTTGGTCTCACAACACCCTAAATGAAAAAATTTGAGTATTTAAGTTTTTAAGATTAGGATTCAAAGGATACAATCATATTGCTGTGTTCAAGTAAATGTTAAGGATTTAGCAGCAATGGAATTAAAGTTGTCCAACTTCAATACTTCTTACTCAAGAAAAGCATCTATTCAAACATGAACATACTAACATCTCCACTAAAGAAGTAATTTTGGAAAACAAAACCCAAACATACAATAAAACAAACAAACAAACATTCAGAAGATAATTAACAAAGCTAAAATTCTTTCATAAAAGTTGGCTATACAAACATTCAGTCAATATATACTGACAAAAAATAAGAGTTTAAGTATTTACCTCACTTAAACTGTACCATCCCAGTGCTAGGCATATTTTAAACTCATTGGCTACTCTATCTGTATCATCTTCACACCTGCAAAATAGATGATCCCTGAAAAAACTGGGGTGAATTACTCCCTGAAATGTCCCTTTCTGCCCTGACTCTTTTTAAAGATGTCAGAGTATATTCATAAAAGTTTACTATCTAGCCTGAAGCGCACACATGAATGCTAAACAAATACTACCCCAGCCTTTGAGCTAAAAGAGAGATTTGAAAATTAGAATGAGAGATTATCAACAGCATCATGCATCTTGGTAAACCAAAAACCAGCTCTGGAACATCATTAACAGGAAACTTTTGGACATATTTTGCAATATTAGTATGGTCAATATATATTCAATCACCTTCTAGCACATTATTTCTAGAAGAAAGAATTAAGTAAATTACGTCCTGGTGTCCTGAACTAAAATTCAGATGAAACCCACTGGACCAAACAAATATGCAGTGAGCAGACATTACAATGCAGCTGTCTGTGCTAGGAACGATACATTCTCTTGATGTACTAAATAGAATGAAATAGGCATTTTCAGGCCTCATCCAAGAAATGAGGGACTGCAGAGATACCTTAACTCATTAAAATGGAGATTGCTAAGGCAGAGAATGGTTTACAAACACTTCACCAATTTCAGACAGCAGGTTGTCTTTGTCCAACTCAGCTTCTAACTTAGCCTCTGTTCTGAGATCAACAAAAGTTTTTTTAGGATGGTCATAACCAAGAAGTTTTACCTGCATGACCATTTAAATTAAGTTACTTAAATAAATAAAAAAGTTATTTTATTCACTGAGAGTTACTTACTGCAGCTTACTGCTAGTTGAAAATCTCACTCTTGTGAAAGGGTGATTGATTCAAGGTATCTATATTTTTCTCTGCAGAGACAACACAGTGAAACAAACTTCTGAGATCTATTCCCTCTGAGACACTCTATTGATTCTGAGTCAAGGAAAATATCTGTTGTAACAAAGGATTTTATCTTGGGTTTTTTGACAGTACAAAAACTGTCAGTTTGGGATTTGGGATATATATGCTGCTTTCAAGGTCCCACACTGAAGGTAAAAGAAGACGACATTTTTCTCGGCAAAACTGATGTTTGTTTTCCCTTACATCCTAAGAGATTCTCAACTTTCTAGGCAACACCATTAAATAATTTTTTAGCAGTAGACCTTTCCTCTCCAGGATGTGTGTGTCTGAATCAGTGGTGGTAAGACTAGTGCCAGAAAATTATATTCAGCTTGTCTTCCACATTGTAAATGAGCATTTTAAGTACCAGGCAAACACTCAGAGAGTTAACTTTTAAAATACAATCCTTTAAAAATACATTGTTAAAACTAATTTACATCCAAAAGCAAACATTTTCAAAGGATACCCTTTGTTAATTTTCACTTAATCAAAACCTCTCTTTTCAGGGTATTATGTATTCAGAACTGTGCAGTAACACAAGCGTTCAGAACATGCTTTATTTCGTTTAATCTGTAATGTCATTCAGCACATCTTATCTACAAGACAATTAGCTAATATGTAAATAATGAACAAGATTAGTCAGCAACAAATGCTATCACACAAGTGATATATTAACTGGTCTTGTCATTAAGTAACTATACTATACTTATCTAAGAAAGTTAAAACACAGACGAAAGCACTGAATAAAAGATATTCTGCTATCTTCAAAAGTTTATTTTGTACAAACAATTGAAGAAAATGCATCTTATCTTTATATTACTACTATTTAAATTTTAAAACATTATTTATTCCTAGACACTGCCTTTAAAATAGTGAAATGTGAATAAATGAGATTAAACCATTTGTAGAATACGTATCTACAGCATTGTGCTCTGGCAAACATTTTCAACTTTTTCAATTAATTTTTTTTTTCACAGGGAACTGCAAATAGTTGGTCACAGACACTTAATACTACTGATAGTCCTTTACCTTGGGCAAACCTGTTGTTCCAGACGTATACAGAATATAAAGTGGATGGTCTGAGGGAATGGAGACACATTTTGAACACTGGGCTTTTGCAAGCTCTTCTTCCCAGTCAAGATCACGACCTTTGGTAAGAGGAACATGGCCCTGCCCATTGAAAAATAAGAAAATTGTCAAAAGAAAACCACATGGAATAAATGGAATTAATTCAAAAAACATGTACTATTCAAATTTTTATACAGTACTGCTCAATTTTCTCTAATCTCTCTACTGCATTAGTTCTATTTTGTATATAAATTTTATTAATATAATGCTCACCCTTAAAATTAAAAAGCAAACTACAATAGATACAGTAAAATATTTTTGCAAAAAAGTAAAGGGACATGCACTACACAAATAAGTGAAGGTTAACATAAAGGCAGTACAACTGTACACCCACCAAATTAGGTCGCTGGTAAACGAGAACTTTATGAGGTTTGCTCTGTACCCTTGCCAGTGCTGCTTCTAGCAGAGATATATATTCCACTTTCCTTTTTGGTTCTACTCCAAAACTTGCTGTTACAATAAGTTTGGGCTAAAAAAAAGGAAGATGGTTAATATGTACATTTACAATGTATTTTAGATATGTAACATAATAATATTTTCCATTAAATTCGATACGTACAATTTATATAATTAGACACAGGACTTTAGATCAGTTTTCTAGAGTAAATCAAGCTTGTGTAATCTCACTGTCCATGCATCTGCTTTTTGTTTGGAAGGACATTAATACCTTCTGACACTTCACTATTTTCAAACACATTTGAGTATCAACAATATTAACTTCTTATTAGTTGCACAAATATTAATGAGCACAGAGAGAAACCACTCTCCATCTCAGCTCCTCCACTAAGGAAGAATGGTGCAGTGATATCAACAGTTAGCTGTACTGTTTTACCTTCTACCTAATGCTTCCAATTCCACATTTCAATACTAACTGAAGAACTTTGCTGGCTTTTTCACAGCCTGCAATAAAATTCACAGGATGGAAAAGAAAAGAAAGAGGGAAAACAAGGTGAACAAGAGATGGCAGGAAACTAGAAATACAGGAAGAGAATAAGTGAAAGTCATAAGGCACATGAGGGAAGTAAGGCTAGAGTTTTTCAAGAAATGGTTGAAGGACTGAGGGTGCAAAATTACTAAAAATCAGATTTGTACAGTTCTGGGGCTTTTTAGACTAATATCTGCTTCCAAATGTAGATTTCACATCTTTGTCAATAAATTAACCACAGCTTTTATGTAAGTGAAAAAATCTGCATAGAAGCTCTTTTAAATTCGGTCCAAAAATCAGTATTTTTATTTTTTATTTTTCAGGAGAGAAAAGGTAGCACCAAAGAAACTATGTGTTAGAACCTATTTTACTTGGAAAAAAGTGAGTCTTCAATCTCCATTGTTTTGAAGTTTTAGAGGTGTATTTATCATATGGTGCTCAGTTTGATCAAGCTAGTTTACTAATTGTATGCATTAGCATAAATCCCATTAAGAAGGCATAAACCACAATGTCACAGTTAAGGCTAACTCAAATTCAGTAGAGAAAGCACAGATTAAATTGTTTTCTCACACAATAATAAAATGTTTTCTGTCCAAATCTGTCATTCAGGAAAGATCCCTAACTGGCGTGTATTCAAAACAAAGATCCTGGATTAAAATTAAAATTTCAGCATTCATTGATTTTCTTTTGCAATGCACTGATTTAATAGAAGATGATACAATACAATGCAGTTAAGCTGAAAATTCATTGGGAGGTCACCCTGAAGTCAGACTGTAGTAAATAAAAGATACACAGTCCTATTCAAGTGTTGAGATGAAAGACTCTTGTTATCACTAGCTTTATAGTAATTTGTAGATGATCCCACCTGTGCTCATCAACTGCCTTGTATGTAGTAAGGACATCTAAAAATAACCAATACTAAATTAGCTGAGGTGATGTACTTCCAAAGTCAAGAAGCATCATGGATTATTCCAGGCAAATCAAAGACCCGCTACTGGTTTTAACTGCTCTTTTCTTCTCTCTGCCTAAAAACATTATTTCCCCTGCACCTCTGCTCCCCTATTGCTTTCATACACCCATTTCCCACCTCTTCTGTGGCTCCATGCAGTCCTATATGTTAAGATTTGATAGAAATAGAACAAGTTTGAAGAGAGAGTTCAATGGTCTGCTGGAGAACAAATTACATAGATAGTGAGCTATAGAAAAAAAAAACAGCAACGTTATGAAGTAGAAATGAGCTAAAGCAAGGCCCAGTAGTACAAGATGCTGGTACAAGACCAACATTTTTATTCTGTTGTAAGGAATCCTACAAATTCTTCTATACTCTCTAATACTCTTCAAGTGATGCAGCTGACACTCCTGAAGGAGGGGATGCCATCCAGAAGAACATGGACAAGCTCAAGGAGTAGGCCCATGACAACGTAATGAGCTTCAACAGGGCACAAGTGCAAGGTCCTGCACCTGTGCCATGCCAAGCATTCCAAAAAGCAGTGCACTCTGGGGAATGAAGGGATTGACAGTAGCCCTGCCACGAAGGACTTGGGATACTGGTGGATGAAAAGCTGGACATGAGCAATGTCTGCTGCAATGGGACAAAGAGGTAATGGTATTAAACTATAAGAGGGTATATTTAAACTAGATACAAGGATGACATTTTTTGCAATGAGGGTGGTGAAATACTGGCACAGATTGCTCAAAGAGATGATACATGGGAACACCCCTGGGAACATTCAATGTCAGGTTTGACAGGGCTCTGAGCAACCTGATCAATCTGAACATGCCCTGCTCATTGCAGGGAAGTCAGACTAGATGCCCTTTAAAGGTCCCTTCCAACTGTTCCATGATGGTATGAACCTCATTATTACTTTAATATTACAAATTATATATTCCCAGACTCAAGTAAAAGAAAAGATGACAAAAAATCCTGTTTTCATGCTCTGTATCCCTTCATCACAATTCACTGCAGAATGTCTGTAACTGCCAACACCTGACACAAGCAGAAATTACCAGCTGCAGGACTTTGCAGCATTCCCAGACCTATTTAAAATTCAAGATAAATTAAGCTAAGCTGGCCAAGTGTACCTTTTCATAGTCATTAGACAGTGCATGTTATTTCTTTCACTCAGACTTTCCAACAGAGTATGAAGTTTGATCTTTCTTCTACAAGACCATCGTACAGCCAGCTTTCCACTGCACATCTTTAACACTCTAATTAATTTTACCAATATCAGGTCCTGTACTGCAGCATCTAAACCATTCAAATAAAAGCCTAATAAAAAGGTTAGGTTATTGTGCAACTGCTTTATTTATTCAGCATTTTTACCATCTATCACAGGTACTTACAGGTAGCCTCAAGAGTGTGCAATTCACTTATCATGAAAGCTTTATCATGCTGAAAATTGGGGCATGTTTCGAAACTTAGATTGAGGATATGCCTCCTTTACTCACATTTTAATTATACATCAGATGGACCAAAAATCATGCATAATACTGCATTTTAAAGAAACCAAAAGACAATGTAAATTAGGACTTAGTTCATGGTTTGCAGCTAATAATTACATAGCTTGCCCTTCCAAAGAGTTGCTACATGACCTTGGGTAAAAAATTTAAATTTTTTCTTTCTTTTCATTTTAATGCATGAAGCAAGGATTATGATTATTGTGCTCTCTCCCTTTTATCCCCTGGGGGAAAATCACTGGGATTAATTAGCCAATAATTGCAAAATACTCTAAAAGTAAACATGCTAGATGATTTGTATTTGTAGCAACCTCCACTTTTAAAGCTTCTAATTTTTTCTTCTACATTATTTTATAGCTTGTTAAAAATGGGTAAGTGGGAAGAAAGGGAAAACTAGAGAGCTGTCGTTAGCCTTTTTTCATCATTCCAACAAACCATTTTGGCCATTTTATTAACATCTTTGTTAAAGCATCAAGAAGAGAGGGGAAATGCATTCAACTCTCTATTTACAGATATTTATAAAACTGAAACTTCAGTAATCTGAAAAGCACTTCTGCACACAGAAATCTACATGAAAGTTCCACAGATCCTGGAGACTTGAACCCTACACAAAAACCTGTTCTGGTTTATACATCTAAGCAACATTATTCAATGATAAGATGGCTACCACAGAGAGTCTGAATGCTTCAAGTGACTGATCAAGGTGACAAAAGACTCTACCTTGTTCCCTAGTGGAAAAAAAGAAAAGGCTATTTCATTGTTAGCTTGTTTGAAACTATGCATACACAAGCTACTAATATGCCTATATAAGGTACTAAGAATAGTCAACTACTATTTTCATTTCAGTAACACAGACATCATAACACTTTATAAATAAGCTCAACTTATGCCAAACACAGGAGCCTTTAAAGCATTCATCTCTATTCATTATGTAATCAGCACAGTCACTTATTTAGGGCAACTGTCTCCATAGCTGTCAAGAGGGATGGGTCCTTTCTGGAGGGTGTAGTGGGGTAGTGTGAATTATTTGCCTCTCTTGTACACTCTGCTATGAATATTGTTGCTGTTACTGTTCAGTTATTTCATTGCTGTTTCTAGCACATTGTTCTCACCTCAACCTGATCTTTACCTTTTAGGCCTCCAATTTTCCTCTTCATCCCACCACAGGGAGGAAGAGGGAGCAGTGAGCAAGCAACGTAAGGTTTGGAGTATTTCCATGAGAACAATAAATTGGGGAGTACCATTCCTAAATCATAACACAGCTGAAAAAATTAACTACCTAATATGCCTAAACATCAGAAAAGCCAGTGAAATCACTTATGGTTGGCAGAATTTTCCTCACACAGTTGATGAAAATGTTGAACCAAAAGCCAATATTAAAGAGATGCTTTGTAGAAAAAGATTGAGAAACATGAGAAGAAAGTACAATCTACACAAACAACAGTGTGTTAAATTCCTGCTTTTGTAGAAGTGGTCATAATTACTCACTTGGTGTCTGCTACACAAGTATCAACCTCAGCACACACATAGTACTTTGCTCATATTGCAACAATAGGTATTATAAACAAACTGTGTGCCACACAAAGATAAATGTTATCCTGTCTGGGAAAAAATCCAAACAACAGGTTTTTGACATTGATGAACAGGAGTAACTAACACAATGGTGTTTGTTGCTTCAAAGAGGTTATTACCTTTGCATGATCAATGCGAACTGAAAGCTCTTTAGATGCAAATCCACCAAAAATCAGGCTATGGATGGCTCCTATTCTCGCACAAGCCAGCATACAGTACACTGTCTGTGGAATCATGGGCATGTAGATGACCACACGATCTCCTTTCTTCACACCATGTTTGATCATGACATCAGCTAACTTGGAGACCTGTACTGACAAAACATTCATATTTAAAGTTTCTTCAGATCTGCTGTTGCTCCATTAGAAAAAACTTTCATATAGTCAACAGATGCACAACATCAAAGAGACAAGCCAGTATGATAAAGAAAGTTGATGTTATGTAATCAAGCTTCAGTAAATTTAATACATTTTCTTTCTTGCAAAAAACCTACTAATATATTTTTCTTTTGTAAAATAAAAATGGAAGGAGACCAATTATTGTAGTCAGTACAGCCAAAAAAATCAATAGCAATGTCTAGCAAGTTTTTAAATGAGAGTCTACCAGTTATTCTTTTATTCAGGTAACAGTTTATATTTCTCAATTTTAGCTCTTAAGAATTAATGTAAACATGTAATTTCATAATGTGAGTTCTGTCCTAACTAGCTAACTTTGAAACACAAATCAATATGTAGTAATATTTTCTTTACATAGTGTCATAAACTTCTCAATCTGAGACAAGAGACATTATACTCTGAACCAAAGGGAAATACAAATTCAGAGTGTTATCTATGTTTAAATATCAAGGTTTAAAATCAATTTTTGCTCTCATTGTCAGATTTTCATTTTTGCTATGCAGAAACCTAAGAGTGACTATGTACAGCAGCAAACGACTGGAACTCAAGAAACGCAACAGACTGATCAGCAGCAATGCCCCTGTAACACTATGAGAAAATATTTATTACTTTGACAGTACACAATATTTGGCCACAAAAGTAGTACTGAATATTTCATTAGTATTTACCACATCCTTAGTTGGATTATAGTGAGCATGGGAGCCTGTGACAAGCATTGTGAAATTGTCCCAACCTGCTTGTTGTGGCATGGCAATGTGGCATCTTCTGAAAGAAATGCTTTCTTTTACAGTATTTAAAAATTTGAGTTTTCTCTTTCTAAAGAGCAACTACATTCAGTCCTAGAATCCTCATAAATATATTGAAAAGGACATAAACTGCTTCATATGCAGTAAGGACACCTAAAAATAACCAATACTAAATCAGCTATGGTGATGTACTCATCCAAGTGATGAAGCATCATGGATCACTCCATGCATATCAAAGGCCCACTACTGGTTTTAAGTGCTCTTTTCTACTGTTGTACCTCTCCGCCTAATGACATCATTTCCTGCACCTCTGCTCCCTTATTGCTCTTATATATCCATCTCCCACTTCACTGTTTCTCTCTTCAGTGGAAATACATGTTCAGACTTTCAGTACCCTGAGACAGTAACATCCAGAAGCTCCAGGAGCATCTGCTCTATCTTTGCATTAAATTCACAGCTCATCCACAATCAAACAGCACATTTCTACATTCTCCCCAAGGATTTAAGAAAATGGAAACACAGAAGCCCCAAGCAGGCTCTTGCATCAGAAGATACTGCATAAGTTCCATTTTCAGTAAGCATTGCATAAATCTGTGCTGTTATTTTCAACCACAAGAAAGAACATATTTGTAAGGCAAAATCATCACCACACCAAGCTGAAAACTCACACAGACTTACATATGATTTGTATGGAATACAAATATGATTTGTATGGAATAGATCTCTTATTTTAAATATTACTGATTTTCAAGAGAAAATATCTTTAATGCTAGACTTATTAATACCTATCAAGATCATATAGAACTGATATACACTATCAAAACTCAACAAAAAACAAAGACTGGACATGTATAAAGCTAGCATTTATTGCCACACCACCAGCATTTACAGTCATTTCTAGGTATAATTAGTGAAAAGTAATTGTAAATAAAAATAGCAACTCTACTTCTAAAGGTAAATTACTTTTCTGTACTTCCCAGTGTGAAAATATTAAAATCTTCAAACACAGAACTAACATCACCTTCTCTCAAAGAAACAAAAAAGCTAATCATTATCTTCCCTGCTTGTGACTCTCAAGCAGAGTGTTGCCAAAAAGGCCAGAGGCAATGAAAATAACATTTAATGAGTATTTTTACAGTCACTGTGTGGATAGTGGACAATAAATACTTAAACACAATGGACAAGTATTATTATTATTAATTATCATTATTTCATAAATAATTTTTCATAATTATGAAAAAGGAAATGTTTGCCTGCTACAGGAAAAAGACATTATTTAATGATCATAATTAGTAATTTTGTAATAGAAGACTCACAGTGCCTGTAAACAAGCTATATAACTGGTTCCTGGGTATAGGAGAGAGACAGCAAAGAGATCTGAATGTACTTAGATAATCTTTATTGAAATCTATCATAGCTAAATTGCATTTAAAGCAGAACGTGTGTACAGCATACTGCAGACAGGAACTACATGTCAGCTGTGCAAACCCAGTAATCACTTTTCTGCACCTGACTTCCCTGTCCTAAAGACTGTCATGTCACTGAAGGCAACAATCCAATACAATACACGAGTGTCTATGATTTTCCTTGTGCCCTTTTCTTCATCCTTCTGACAGACAGGGAACATTTGGACTATACAATAAAACACTGTCTCTATCTGCAACTATTTGGAAGACAGGGGAATATTGTAAAGCAGGTTTACATTGCCCTTCAGATTGATGTGGTAGCCCTGAAACATCCAAGCAATCATTCTAAAAAAAAAGGGGAGGGTGGAAAAGTGAGTAGTGACATTTCATTAAACTGTTAATAAAAGCCATGAAACCTTCCACTTTGCTACAATGTGTTGCCATTTATGATTTACATTAATACGGTGTAGTGTACTTTATCACTCAAAAACTAACATGCTATTTCTCCACTTTTCTTCAAGTTTAAGACTGCTCACTCTCTTTAATATATTTGACATTTCAGTAATAAAATCACTTGAGACCAAGTGATATAATAAGAAACTCAAGCAGGCTATCAGTTTGGAAGACCAGAGCATAAATTACACTTCTATCAAATGCATGGACCCAGTGAGCATGGTTTTACTTTTACCCAGCAACCAAATACTACAGCTGTATCAGCAGCTAAGGTTTCTAAGTCATTCAGTTCTGAAGTCCTAGCAGTTACCAAAAGCAGTTTTGGTCCATGCTAAAAGAATTCGTCTTAAAAGATGCAAAACCAGAAATCCCATTCAAAATGCTCGAAAGAGGAATTCCAAACCTTCCTGGGTTGAACAGTGGCTGGGACACACAAACATAGAATCCATCAATGCAAGCTAAACTCTCCTAGACTGGCAAAATCCATGAAAAAAATACAACAGCCTACATCCCATTTTCAGCAGATCTCTTTGTTACTTTTGTTTTCGGGAGTCTGGTAGCTAGCAGATTAAACTACCAAATTAAACTCACTGTACTTAAGTGGACCAGAAAGCTTCAACAGACAAGCTATTAATATCAAATATTGCCTTTCACATTTATTTGCTTTTGATTAAGAGCAATCTGTAGAGAATTCAGAAATAGTATTAGATAGGACTCAGCCTCCAGCAGGATTATAATGAACTTCTGAGTGAGTACTACTACATACCCCAGAAAATTTAAACCAGTTCTTCCACTTGGATTGCCAATGCTCTATAAGAAGAAATGTAGATGAAAGGATGTGTATGTCAACTAACAAAATTTTCTCACTTTGCACAAATTCACCACATCTTAAGACTATTAATACTCTTATAGAGGCATAAACTTATGAGACTTAATATAATATCAAGCTTAAAAAGCAGAAAAAAGGCTATTGCTCAAGATGTTTTCAGGGGAAATTTCTACCAAGCAAGTTCACTTAAGATAATTTACATTAAAATGTTGCATTAAAGTTAACCAAGTATTATATGCAATGTGTATATACAGATTGATTTCATATATACACATCTATTTGCATATATATTGCGTATATATCATAATTATTGAAGGCAAATGACACAAATATTGTATATATAAAATTTTGATTATACTTATATATATATACCAGTATAAATAAAATTAGATAAGGAGCTGGATCCTTTCAAAGCCTTCTGACTCATTAAAACACCAAAGTTAGTTGTTTCAGCTCCAGCATACTGTATGTCATGTTTGTTTTTCGGACTTGTGTCCACATAGATAGAAAACTGGTAAGGACTACATGTTTTCTATATTTTCCTTAAAAGGTAGAATGCATAACAAGTTTATAATTTCTTTGTAGTTGTATGACTTCTCTTTTCTTGCAACAGCGATAAACCGCTCACAAACAGAATTACTGTATTCTGACCTCATTTCACAATTTAAACCACAGGTCCACATTACTCCAGACACTACATGTATATCTTAAGTACAGTGAGTGTGTTACATTCAAAGTAATCCATCTTGCACATTGAAACACATTGAAGAAGAATACGAGTCCAACTCCAACACTCCTTTGTACTCAATTTTAAGTTCAACTGCTACATGTAACTGGAAGAAAAAAGGCAACTAAACAAGAGTAGCAGCATGAGGCCATGTCCAGCAGACAGCACTGAGAGCCAAGAACTTTCAATGGGGCAGACTGCAAACACCCAGGGCAGCAACAACCCATGGGGAGGCACAGAGTAAATCTGAATGTGAATTGTCCACTTCTGCATCAGCCCAATCTCATCAGGAGTAAGCTACCTCAGCCAACAGGGAAGTCAAAATCCACACACCTTCCAGACAGAAGGGCCACCAGCACCCTCATGACACCTACATAGGGGCGGGTGATGCAGCTTTCTATGGAGTTTCCCCAGTTAAATTTCATTTAGGCTTACACTCAGTTATGCGCAGCAACAGCCAAGCTACACATTTCACTTCTATGGAACTGTACTTTTGCTCACCACAGCAACTGTCAAGAGACTTAACTAATGCTATGATTAACCTTTTAATTAAGATCTGTTAGGGGAAAAGAAAATTAAATCAAATACAGACAAGTTAAAAATTTAACCAACCAGGGGAAAAATTATTAAACTGTAAAAGAAAAAGAGGAAATGGAGGAATTTCAAAACCTGTTAGATGCAGTATAATTTGGCAGACATAGTAAGCTTATAAATCAATACTGAGCACAGCAAAAGAAGTATACTAGTGAGGTAGATAATTTCTACCTCTCTGGTATCTACCTACTATGCAATATTTACCGCCCCTTCTCATTAACAAGGTTATTCTGAAACATACCTGTTCCAAAAGTTCCTTATATGTTATTTTCTCTTTGGTATTTGTTACAGGACTGTCATAAATAATGGCAATTTGGTCTCCTCGTCCATTCTCAACATGACGATCTACAGCATTGTAACAGATATTCAGCTCTCCACCTACAAACCTACAAAATAAGTATGAAGTATGAAATAGCTAGCCTTCCAAACTAAGAACTTTTTTTTTTCCCCATCATTTTGTGTTTTTCTTTTAAGGAATGAGAGCATTCAATTAAAACATAGTTGTCAAAACATTATACTCACTTCAGGAAATTCTTTTTTATTCTGTAACCTCATGATTGACTCAACAAGCTAAATACAACTATTAGTGAAAATAGAGATGTTAAAGTACTGTAACTTAACTGACTTAATTAAGAATCTGCTAAACTTGGTCTTGGTTTAACTTTGCATTAATCACTCTGATTTTATATGTATGGTATCACAGAAAAAGCATAAATTCACATAAATTAATTTGACATTATGAAAACATGCTATTATCCTACTTTGTACTGGCACACACACACACCCTTTTCAAGGAGAACAGGTTCAGGACTCAAAATAGTCTTATTCATCTCTTGGCAAAAACAGTTAAACATACAAGCATCTGTAGCTAAATTAAAGGCATCCCAAGTTATAAGATCATATGATTATAATGCATTTGACAACACTTTTGTATCAGAGACTCAAAATTTTCTGTAAATTGATATGAGTCATAGCCTCTTCCATAGTTAGACATTTACAGAGAACTCTTATCTTCCAATTAATGAAAAAACATTTCACAAACTTACGTTTCACTTTTCTAGTAATTTTACATAGAAAAAGAAAATTCAATTGCAGCATAATCCTCAAAGTACAAAAATACAGAAGATACCGGATACAAAGACAATTCTATTTACTGGAAGATGACACAGCACCTAAAAGTTAAAGTTCACACTAAATCATGCCCTCTTTGTTTGTTTTTCTATCTGCATGTATATCTGTGCAGCAAAAATAGCAAAATACGAAAAACACACAGTTAAGAGTTTCCAAAAGGCTCTATGGACACCTGTACAGTGGTAACATATTATTATAATGCAATTAGAAATAACAGATGGCCTAAAGTAACTTACTTAACTTATTAGTTAAAAACAGTATTTCTTTCTTCACTTCTCGTGTTTAGTAAAGGAGTGCTTTAAATCGGGATATCTTATATATTACTTTTATATCCATACACTATGAGATAATCTTTATTGTCTAAAAATGGCAATTATGAAATTAAAACCAGTTAGGATGTTTAGGATTCAGTTATCCTACTGCAACTCCTTTACAATGCCATTAATAAGGAGAAAGTGGGGGGACCATCAACGTCACAAACCATCCTGTACAAAAGTCTACAAAACCCTTCCCCTAACAGGAAAACAATATGAACAATAAAGGATCTGGAATTGTTTCACATAATACAGAGAAACTCTGTATTACTGTCATAAAAGTTGTGTAAGATTCAGATTTTTCTACCAAATCACTGCAGGATGATATTAACAAGGGAACACATTACCTGGGCTATGCATATTCACTTTAAATGGTCAAAACATGAGCAGGCATGAGAGTTTTGGTTCTTTTAAATATACATGGCAACATCAACATGAATTTTTAGCAATCACTTACAAACAAGGGTGTGAAAGAGCTATAACTGTGCATTTAATCAAAAACTAACTATCTGGAAGGTGTGATGAGAGCTTTGTTACCCTGTTGAGAAGGAAAGAGGTTCTGATAGGATCAAAAAAGCAGACATTCCCTTTTTTACATTAAATGAGAGTAGAAGCTGAATAAAATGTTAGACAATATCAGATAACTTGAGATATTATTATGTAAAATGACCCTGACACAGTTTTAAAAGTGTAAGTAACATCTGAATAGCAATCTGGGCAACATTTCCAAAATTCAAAGGGGATTATATATTGCACATATGACTTAGCATCAGAGGAAAAACACATGTTGCAAAATTGCCCTCTGCCTGCACATGTTAGAGAAAACAGTTTCCACATTCCTAAACGAATATTTGTTTTAACCCTTTTAATTGGCATTCCACAAGATTCCAAACTAATCTGTTCAAGTGTTTCACCAACTTCAGCATTAAAAAGATTTTTCTCCCTAACATCTGAAGACTATGTTTCCCATGTTGCAACTGAAGACAGTTTTGACCAGTTCAAAGACAACTCAAGGAAGTTTTTCCTTCAACTTCTTTACCAAATTCTATGTGGTTTAAAACCTAGGTCTCTCCATTTTGGCTTTTAGATCAACAATTTCAATTCCTTCATCCTTTTCTTGAGCAACCATCCTTCATAGCTCTTATTATTTTTCATGTAGGCAAAACCAGATGTTTTGTGCTGTATCAGCCACTGATGCAGTTTAGAACAGTACCTGGGATTACTGCTTCAAAAAAACAAGTCAGGGGATGGTGACACTGGTCACTGATTTTCTGGAAATCATTTTGCATTCCAATGACATACTGGTATTTCCAATGGCAGAGAGTGAAGAAAACACACTGGGGCATGTTGCAAGTTGCTTTCATGCTCTTACATTATTTAGGGGGGAAGAATTGCCTTATGCCTACATTCTGGTCTATTGTCTCCAGGCTGACCTTGTAGAAGCTTAGAAGATACGTGGGCTAATGTGTATGTCTCAAACACCCATAGCCAGAGAGCTGTGGAGCCACCCAAGGATTGTGGGTAATAATAATACAGAGAAAGAGCAGGCTGGAGAAGGGGGCCATACAGAGGTAGGGCAGTACTTTTCTGGGGTAAATGTCCTTGTTCTTGCTCCTGGAGATAAGCACAACATGGTACAGGGCAGGAAGAAGGTTGAGAAATGAGCATGGACTGTAGAGAGATCAGGACCACCGAAGACTACTGAAGCCCTCTGACCCATTTTCAGAAAGGTCTAGAAGAATGGATGGTGCATGCTGACTGCTTTGCATAGAAAACAAGAAACTTATCTATAGAATGGCACCCCCACAAAGCTCAGGTGCCTGTGTGCCTCAGGTCTCTGGATAGATCATCCAGCTGATGACACTGGGGCATGCTGCAAGTTGCTTTCATGCTCTTACATTATTTAGGGAGGAAGAATTGCCTTATGCCTACATTCTGAATACAGTAACAGCCTCCTTCAACTTCTTCAGTTGAAGCAGATTACATTGGAAAATATATGAAAAGCATCTGCTTCTGTACATCTCAGGTTTTGCAACCAAAAACACAAACAGGGCAAAGGACAAGATCATCCAGCTGATGAGCTGGATCAGCACTGGAGCCAGGACTGGTGATCTCCTTTTCTTTCTTGTTTTCTTTCTCTCTTCCCCTCTTTATGTCATCTCTCTCTTTTACCTTGCACCCTGCCTTTATCCAAAACCCACTGCCATATTAGGGTATAGGCACTATGGGGTATCAGGGACTAACTTACACAGATTTCCATACAAAACGTGTGGAATTTACTAATAAAACTTAGTAAGTTTTTACAGGTCCACTGACTTTTGTAATTCTTTTTTGACCATAAGCATTTCTGAATCTTAGGTTCTGCCTTCCCCTTAAGGGTGGGATGCCACAGACCTGTCTGAGCAGGTGTCCTCCAGAGGTCCCTTCCAACATCAGGCCAGTTTGTGATTCTGTGATATTATACAAAGATGCATGTCTGACATTATTTTTTACTACTAGTGGTGTCAAGCAATGATATCAGACACCAATAAGAAACCCAGCTCCACTCCACTGGCTCTCTATCTTTTAATTTGCACAGATTTGAGAATTAATAATGCTTTTAATTGTATTTTTTATAATTACTAGCATTTTTAATCAAAAAAACAGGAAAACACAAAAAGGGCAAAGGACTTGCTGTGCCAAACAAAGATGACCCTTATCCTACAATGCCTTTCATATTCTGCATCTGCTTCTTCTTGAGAAAAGACCCAAGAGCATGATGTAAACTTGCTTAAAAAGAGGCAAAGGTGCCTGTTGGGCATACGAAATTTTAACATTACCTTTGAGAAAGTATTGAAAATCCTATCTAGTAATTTATAAGAAGGACACCATGTTCTGTCTTAGGATAGTTCACCATTCACTGATGAAGATATCTATTACAACGCCAGTGCCTTTGCCAAACATTACCTTAAACACGTCTAAATTATAACCTACTTAGACAGTATCTGAGATTAAACACTCCCGAAAGCCACATTTTTTATACAGCTGTATTTTCATATGCCTGACTTCCCTGGCATCTGAAGCAGGGTTTCCCATGTTCACGACAGCCTGTTGCCAATTCCGACCCAAAAAGGGTGGGATGGGGAGCATCAGGCGCACTCATCCACACCATTCAGCCACACACGGACTCACACAGGCACATGTCACACCTGCCAGAGTGCACGCTAACATGCCCTCACCCCAACACGCTCCATGCTGCTTTTAATCATTAATCAAGTGTAATCATTGAACTTCTTCAAGCTCCGCAGCCGTCTCCTCCGACAGCGACGGCACACGGACAATCCCAGCAAGACGCTGGGACAGCTCTGTGGTGAGCACACGACCCGCAGCCCAGCGCCCCGCAGCCCCGGGCAGGCAGCGCTCTGCCCCCGCTAGAGCCGAGCTGAGCCCGCCGGGCCCGGCCGCGCCCGCCTCCGCACGGCTCCGGGGCACTCGGCCACTCACCAGGAGGCGCTGCCCAGGCTGTCCCTCTCTAGGGTCCGGACCCACGGCTTGTACCACTGGATCTGCTCGGCGACTTCTCCCCAGACCTTCTCGGGTTCCGCCAGGCAGGACCGAAAAACTTCCTCGTACTTGCCGGGCGCCCGGGAGGAGGCGGCGCGGCCGCCGGGCGGCGGGCGGGGGGCGGCCGTGGCCCGGGCCGNGGGCCGGGAGCGGGACGGCCGCACGGGGCCGGCCCGGCCGCCAGGCACCACCGCCCCGGCCCGCCACCGCACCGCTAAGTTTTGGCAGCGCCGCCAGCTTGCCCAGGAAACCCATGTTCCACGGCCTTCAATGGGGAGGGGGCAGCCTGGCTTCCCTAAGGCTGCAAAACGCCCTCGGACGGCACGGCACGGAACGGCAGCGGCTCCCGGGGGCCGGCGGGGCACGGCAGGACTGCCCCGCCCGCGCCCCGGCCCTGTCACCGCCCCTCGGAGATTCCGGGAAGCGGCTGGAGCGGGGCCCCGAGGATCCCTGGCGCTGCGGCTGCAGCGGCGCTCAGCGGGACCGGCCGGGGCCGGGCGTCCGGACCCGTCAGCGCTTGGCAGCGACCGAAGGTCGCCACCTTCGAGAGACTGAAAAAGGAGACCCACACCTCGAAGTATTTGTGACTTACAGGTCTGCGAGGCGCGTAGCCAGAGTACTCCTCAAGTATTTATTTTGAAAGACACTCTTGTTTTGAGAAACTTACCAGTGATAACAGGAGGCGTACTGTTTGTGCCAGGAAAAAAATTTTAAAAAAAGGAAAAAAAAAAGTTCATTCTGCTTTCCAGAAGGTCTCTATCATCTGTAGTGGATCTTCTGTTTTGCTCATGATATCGTATATTTAGAAATCCTTCTTGAGTTTCAGTGTGCATGATTCACAGTATTATAATGCACATGTCAGCTAAGACATACACCAGCTTCAAATGTTATTTTATTACTTAAGAAATTACTTTACTGCTTTAATAGGCTTACCCATTACAGGTTACTCAGGATATTCTTCCTGTAATCACTTTATAAGAATGTCATATAGCAAAGAGGAACTCTGCAATGTGTTTTATATTCATTGTTAATTTAGGAATCTGCTTCCTAATTGTTGTTGAATTAGTGTTATGTTCTTACAGAAGAACATAACAATTTATCACATTAGAGGTAAAGGAATAAGGGATGAGAAGAAACAGACTGTTTACCCACTACAGCAGGTTTAAATACACAAATCAGTGTATTATTCTGGCTCAAAATACATGAGGGGTGGAGTTCAAGTTCATCAGAAGTTTTAGATCATCTTGAAAATGCCTTAGCTTTCAGCATAAAGGCTGGTTGCTGCTTCTATTTCTGAGGCCTATATAATTATCTCACAGAGTTCCCCCCAGTCCAGTGCTGTGTGAAATACCTCACCTCGCTCCCCTCCTTATCTGTGTCACAATAGCATAAAGTCCTAAGTAGCATAATGGGATTTCCAAAAATGCTCAAGTTAAGAATCAGAGACATATTTCTTAAAAAGAAATTTTCAAAAAAACTCAAGCACCTGAAGGACTAAGTGGACATTTTATTTAGCAAAGTTCCCTACTGCTACAGCATGCCAACAAAGCAAGAAAACTAAAAATACATTTAAAAAAAAAAAGGAAAATGTACTTCTTTTCAAATTTAATTTTATTATTTTTCTCACACTTTCATTATTTTGACAGGACTTTTGCTGTCAACAGAGTTCGGTAGTCCAAGTTTTAAAATAAATAAAGAAAAATAAAGAGCAGCTTGCAGATACTGTAAACAATGTTGACACCATGACAACCCTGAAATCAGATATCGCTGCTGGATGCTCGGTAGTGCATGCCTTGTACAAATATGCCTGAAGAACACAACCTCCCAGCCAGGTCACACATAGTTGATCTTAGCATTTAAAAAATATCCCCAGAATTATATTTTACATTTCCTACCTCCATAATGGGTAGGCTCATTTTGACTTAAAAGAACAATTCTGATTTGAAATTATTACAGAATCACGATTAATTTTGTGTGTGTGTGTGCCTGCTCAGATATCATCACACACAGCCTTGGACTGATGTTCACAATCCCACTATGTGGCTGCGTGCAGTGCAGTGCAGTGACTGTCTACCAGAGGTGTGCAGCTGGTGGGCTTAACAAGAGGTATCAGTTGCCCAACTGGTGATCCCACTTTCCCAGTTCAAATTCCTGGAGGTACACTGTCCACTCCCAAGGAGTGACCCTTCATGCTCTTTGCCTTACAAGATACCTTCTTTGGATCACCAGCACTGCCATTGATGCCCATCTAGTTAGGAGAAGCTCTATAGCAATTGCACGCAGCTGGCCTCTGGGTGGTGATAGCAATCTGTTTCTGAGCTGTAACAACATCTCCCTTTTCCCTAAAGGGGAGAAAATTCTGGAGGCCAGGCGAGCTAAAATATTTAAGTATGTGTAACAGGCTAGTTGTACATGCTAACAGTGAACAAAGTAACCTGAGCTTTAGACACGCAATGTGTCTGGTGATGCCTAATATTTCTTGTGGTGTTGAAGAGCAATACTAACCATGTTTCCACTCTGCCCATAGTGTGTTTGATGTGAAGGTGTAAATATTAAGCAAAGGAATTTGCACTGGAACACTGGTACTAATTTTGAATATGTCTTACTAAAAATGCTGTGCTAGAGGTGTAGGGGGTACAAGTGAACTTAATAGGAACACAAGTGCATTAAATTTAAATACTTATTTTAGCTACTGATGGAATGTCACCTGAAGGAATGTTTCTAATGAATATCTGTGGAACCTACTTCATTAATTAAACTCACCACACCTCATACAGATAGCTAAGAAGGTAAAGAAGGAATTGCTGGTTCTCTCAACTGCATGCAATTAATTTAAGCTTCACTTACAAATACCATTATAGCAGATTTCTGAACTGATGAATTTTCCCTCTAAGGACCTTTTTTTTTTTAAACATGAGGTTCCTGAAATTCATACTCTACAAAGAATTCTGAAGTAATGTCAAGTGATGTGTGTAGCAATTACCCTTGTAGCTGTAGCCTTTCTTGAAGGACATATGTATGTCTCTATGTATGTATCAAAGAACAAGCTATGAAACATGACCTGGTACTTCTTCAATTGAAAAATCTTATCTGAAGCCTTTATCTTGTTCCAAAATAAATTTTTTTCCACACAGCTTCATTCTCTAGTATAGCTATGCATGTTTGAAGATTCATGTATCTTGAAAACAGATTAGCAGAAAAGTATTAAAAATATAATCTCCTGTATATGAAATGCTTTGATTGTCCTAATACACAAGACTTTGGTAACTCAAATTTCAGTTGGAGACCTTTTATAAGCACAAAGTTAAACTGTAACTAAAGAATTAGTATGTATGTTAAATTACTTTGCTATGGTTCTGTATCACCTTTTGTCCAACTTTTAGACTGTCTCAAAACACTGCTAGTCTTCTATGAATAAGTTTCAGAGTCCTCTATAGCACTTACAACCAAAATTAAAGGCAGTCACCGTTTTCTAAAATATGCAGTGGGGTGCAGAGTTAAGTTCAAGCCAAAATAAACTTTTCTGTTTTCATAAAAGGTGATAGAAATAGTATCAGTAACCACCATTTTTTAAGGCACATAAGTAGATGTAGTTATTATTCCAGTTTAATATCCAGTCTTACAATATTAAATATATCACAGTGTTTTTGAAATCTATTAAAACTTTCATAAAAAATTCAAAATAATTAAATTATTGCTTAAAAAATTGTCCATGTTCAATTACATGTCCTTCTGTTTATTTCTCTTTGGTGTTTGGTGTGCTGGGAGATAAATGATGAGGACTTAGAAAAACACTAGAACATCTGTCTCTGCAGACAGAAGCCACTTTCTACATACTTCTGAAAAGTGCTGAAATCAAAGTCTGACTCAATCCTTGTGAAAATGGGTTAGAGATCCTCTGGGGTGAAAATGTGATTCTAGTTTCAATTATTACTGATGTTATCATTTGGTTACTTGAGGAGGTCTTACCATTCAGGACAGCCTGTATTTCATTCTCTTTTTTTTTTTTTTTCCAGTTCTTTTTCTGAACATATCTTGGGCTTTGAAAATGTGAGAAAGAAAACCAGATAGATAATTTAATGATTCCTTTATTTAAAAACAAACCAAAACCAAACAAACCAGCTAAAAGCAAACTAAAACTAAAACCAAAACCAAACAAACCAGCTAAAACAAAAAGAACTCCACATTATGTCACCTAAAAAGTTAAGTCTCTGAAACCAAAATATTTCATCCAAAAGCAAAATTTATGATAAGTTCTTCAGTATTTAGGCATGCTAGAAGAAGGAGTCCATGGTAAATTCCTTGTAGAATTTTGGCTTCTGTTTTGCATTTCTGCTGTTGGGGATTTAAATTGCAAACCTGATGTAATTTTTATGAAAACTGTTGTTGAACTGTGATTTTTAGGTAATCCACGTCCCTGAGTTGCCCAGATTCCTGAAAGTGCCAGTTATTGATTATTTGTCTCTACAAGAGTAAAATCTGCTGTTTTATCCAATGCTACTCCTATTTCTTTCATATGCTTCTACCACTGTTTTCCAGATGACTGCACCAGAACCATCACAGGCAAAGGACTGTTACTACAAAACTTTCAAATTTAAATATATATTCTTTGAAGGGGACTAAAGGACTTCAGGCACTGACATTCTTATTGATGTTTCTTTTGAACTTGATAACAAAAATAACCATGGATTTCACAAATTTTTTTTACCAGAAAATTGTCTTTTTCACAGAACTATGATAAATTCCATTAATCCTCAATCTAAGTGTTAGTGTTAATGTCAGTTTTGTCATAAAAATAATTTTAATTACCTTTTATATAAATATTTCTTATCAGCAACACTTTCTGAAATAGAGAATACAGCCCAAGGAGTATGAAGAAGTTAGGCAGTACAGGAAGAACTCCATTATTAAAAATTATAATAACTATAAGTCCTATTTTCAACCTTCAATGACTAAGATAAAACAGAAAAGCTGATTTTTCCCAGAATATCCAGGCTTGACTAGCCCAAAGGTACACTGATAATGTTTTCTGTCTAGGAGGGATGAGGAGGGCAGGGGAGATATAGCTTGCATGCAGGTGATGAAAATTAAAAAACCACAAAACTACCACATATGCTTAAAATTTTCAAAACAATACCTTAAATGTAGTACTGAGCTGCTTTCACACTCAAAGCTCTGCATTTCACGTGATAGCTCTGGGTGCACAAAGAGTGCAGCCCTTGCATTGTTGGCTGGGCTAAAGACTTACCTCACTGTGAGGAGCAGAGTGAAGCTGGCACAGCTTTAGTCTTTATCTCCTTTTTTGTCACATCCCTTTGCAAGAAGCTGTCAGTCACATTGCCAGGGCAGCAGACTCGGCTAGGAGCCTGGCCCATGGTCAGTTATAATATCAGCATGGACTGAAAGGCCTCTTTTGCTAAAACCAACTTCAACTTAATCTGCTCCATTTCTGGTCATGTCCCAGAGTTTCATTCTTGCAATCCCATTCTCAACAGTTGCTGGATTTTGTTCTTGTGACATATTTCATTATCCTTATTCCACTACATGACTATTCACTGTATGAC